TGTATCCTAATCCCCCAGCCTCGGTTACCGAACCCTCAACTGATAGCGGTATTACTGAATAATATAGTTTACTTTTGGTGATCTGTTAATCGTGGCCATTGAATGTGATACCTTAGTGCTCTGTTTTCCCAGACATTTTCAGTACGGTGATATGAATTATCGACTTCCATAAATACCCTCTTTTGTTACTCTCACAATCGCTTCATACACATGAGATAAGTTGGTGTTATATAAAAACGCATTGGTGTCTTCATTCCGCTCTCTCCCTTTCACACACTTGATAGTTGGACGAAGAATTCCTTACTCTTCGGGGACATTTTCGTGAACAGCTGGACGCTCAAGCTGATGCACGTAAAATCGCGATTGTGCCATTCCCGGAGCGTCTCTCCTCATTGACGTGAGTCTCTGTTTTGTCCGTCAGTATAATTTTCATCTCACTCGTGAATGCAGGTGCTTAGTCTGCTTTACCTGACATTTATAATTGTCCCGCTCTTGCTGAATAATGTTATTATGATTCCCACTTGTCTGGGTCCAGACTGCCAAATTAATCGCGGTACAAGAGTATAAGAAGGAAATGAATTCATATTTGGCTCGTGGGTGGGATGATATCGGGCTTCCCGGAACAAAGCAAGTGAATTTTCTTGTAGATGCACAACCGAAACCTTCGGCTAGACCAATGCTGACCCGCAAGGCAGTGGGACGGATTGTAAGAGCCACAATCCATAGGAGGAGGTTGTCGAGTTACTCGGAGTTAATCGTTAAAGGTGCCCAATACACGTGTGCTCAATCAGGTCAATAATCCCTGCCCAAACACAAAAGCTTTGAGTGTGTTTTATGCGCATTTGGGTTGGTATGGAATCAGGGTTTTTCGTTAACTCCCCTGTGTAAACTGCTGATGGTTCATCATCAGTACCATCTGGGAGCCTAACGGGACCTATCTGACCCAGACTCCTGGTTAGGGTTTTCATGGAGTCTGGGTCACATAGGTCCCGTTATGCTCCTTGGCTGGGAACCTCGGAATGATGGTCATCGATGGTTAAAGATACTGAGTGATATGGTTGCGTGTCGTAAACAGTGGCGTTCTCGCATCTCGTCAATTTCTCTGCAACATTAGTGCAATGAAATGCTAAATTTTGTCTTTCATCCTACTTTCAACCTTTCTTGTCTTTCTCTTAATGTTCATCGAAATAGGCGGCCAAAAGACGGCAACCAAAATCGGCGCAAGATAGTGCATGGTTAATGGTTGTTCAAACTGATACTGAACTGAGGTTCACCGACCCATCTATAGCCTCGGTTGTTGGCTTTTCGTCCTCTCACTTTGGTATGGAACAACCTCCGCCACGTGGAGAAAGTGAAAGGGGCTTCCTCGTTAGAGGCTGTCTGGGGTGTTTGGTCGTATAGGAGCATTTAGCTAAGTGCACGGGAATCATGCTCAGCCTCGACTCAAGACATCCGCCGTCGATCATACTGAGGCCTCTGTCTTCGTAATAATCTCCTATTTACGATAATTTCAAATATTTCTTGTCTAGCATCATTTGTGATTTCAGTCACAACATTGTTGCGTCGTTGCTATTTCAGATGGATTCAGCTGATGGATGCATGCGTGAATATGTTCGATCATTTGTTGGAGAAATCTGTGAGTAAAACTACGTAATTTCTTATGGTTATTGGCAGGATTTTCGTTTTGTGAAAAAGTGACAGATTCTGAAATGTAAAGAACTGTTTCCCCGAACAATTTGTACACAGATCCCTTGCTGCTCACCTTTGATTTGCGACGGTTTTATAATTTATGTGTGGATATACTTTTACACATGTCTGAGTCCAGACTAAGTGTCAAACAAATCACACTATACTAATTCTTATAGAAAGATAAGGTTCCATGAATTGCTTGTGGTCACAATACTGCCAGGTTGCCCAAACCAAGGCAGGTAAATTTTCTTCGGGAATTCACAACCAGGAAGGTGTAGGTGTGTGTTTCGTTCGCCTCTACTTGGTTGGTTAAGAATCAGGGTTTTTGGCCAACTCCTGTAGGTGAACTGTCCGTGGTCCACAAAGCCGGCTGTGGACTCGGATGTAAGCTTTTCGTCCTCCTACTTTGATGAGGAAACAGCTGCACTACGGGAAGGCAGTGAGTAGGGCTTCCTCAGCAGAGGCCGTTTGAAGCGCTTTGGTCGTATGGGAGCATCTCGTGAGCTGCAAGCGAGGGGTGACCAGCCACAATCCCACCCAACCATACACCTAGGCTTTTGGAGACATTATCCACTTTATGCGTAGTTCATCATACCTAACCGAATTGTTTGGCTTATCGGTCATTTCTGATGAATAACCGATCCAAATCAGTTTATACAACCATGAGCCTTGCAATTTTGTGCGATGGTTTTTGTCGCGAGTAAATGAAGTGCAAGATTGATCAAGTTGACAAACTGAGCAAAACTCGAGGTAATGTGGGTCGAAAAGGATCAGGAAGGTGATCGCTCGGCGATGTGCAAGTGCTTGAACAGTAGATGTTATGCGCGAATCCACGATACGCAGCAATTGCACTCGTTTCCGAATTGAGTGAAGTACGTGCAGATAACTGATCGGAAGCGAAGGCGATCTAGGAAAAATTACAAGAAAGAGCACAATATAGAATGAGATCATTAAAAAAGGCGTGGGTGGGATTAAGAGATTGAAATAAAAGGTCGTCGATGAGGGAGATGGCGGGAACCTTGTGGGACGCCGGAGTTGACTGCGATTGTTTGCAAAAGAACTCTATCAACACTAACCTAGGTCGAACGACTGCAAAGGAAGCTCCGATTGCAAGTCATAAATCAATCGTTATCTCTGCAATAGATAATAATCGAGCTTTAATATCCCTGAGGCCGATCCCTTTCGTTGAATAGATTGAACGAAATGATTCCCGCAAATCAACGGTGTTATTCGTTTCTAATAAGTGTCTGGCGACCTCACTTGCACCTACCTTCCCCGGTCCTCGACTTAGCCAAGCTGAATGGCGTTCGCTCATTTAATCTGCCAAGCGTTTAATGGTGCGACCCACTTAATTTGCACCACAGGAGCAAGTAAACCGGTAGACAAAAGGAGGTGATCGCCATCGGTAGGTAGATTCAAGCTAGCGATAGACAAAAAGTTGCGATTAAGACCGTAAATCCAAATGAAAGCAATATGACAGCGCCCGGTAGTGTAAACGTCTGAAACGACAAACTGTGTGGTGTGCAAATCCACGGTGGGTTGTTTTTGAGAGACTGGCAACCTAGCACTTGAGGTGCGGAACCATACAACTCCTCAATAAAATGGAACTTGGTATTGCATCAGGCATAAATTAAACGTGTTGAATAAGGAATTCATACAAGCGAATACAAGTTGTGCTCATCGGACTTGCCATTCATTAACCGCTTTCATCAGTTGTTCCCAATCACACGATTCATTTTCACTCATTCATTGATGGGAGTGCATTTTGAGACGACTGAAAGGCCAATGTTCATCCCCGCTCTTTAGATCGTTGTGTGGTTTCACTAAGAATATGTTTAACCGTTTCCGATGTCCACGCCGTATTGTACGAATTTGGTGGAGAAACCGGACAAGCAATGCTTGGGTGGTTGGGACATGTGTTGCGCATGTCACCAAGTGGATTTCCATGGCGCGCGGTGTTTGCCGAGGCAGATAGAAGATCGAAAAAGGTCAAGGGACCCCGAGATCATAGTAACCGGTGGCTAGAGATATGGCTGAGTGTAGCAGATAATGGTGCTCGTGCATCTACTCATTATTCTTTCGACCACAGTCTATATGAGTTCTCTATCTTCTCTTTCGCTATGTTTTCAACATTCCGATCTCCCTTTTGCTCTTCTGTCTCAATGCGCGACCTTAAGACGGCAACCAAAACCAACGCACGAAAGTGCATGGTTAGTGATCGTAAAAAATGAACTGAACCGACGTATTTCTTTTTTACACAGGCAATCCGGTCAGTCCTGGATCTATCCTCGCTTCTACCCGAGGATGTAGTTCCGAATCAACCAGATGATGAACAAACTTCTGAGTCGTCCACAGACCTCGCCACCTATTGCACTCCAATGTCCGTAGACAATTTGGATGAACAGGAGACTGATGCAGTCCTCGGTCCAGCCCCCTCTACCGATCCGATGACCGATCAGTGCGTGGAACCGCTCTCCGTAGAACCAGTGAATGTGGATGTACCTGCTGGATCGAGTGAGAACGTAGCCACTGCTGCGACCTGCGGATCTTTAGAGCCTCCGGAAAAGCGACGCTCGGCGAGAGTACGTGTACTGTTACTTGAATATATGTATAGCCTAGCTACTTCACATTTTGGATTAGTGCATCTTTGGGGCACGCACAAAAATAGTAAATAGGTCTCTTATTGATCATATTTCATTTACTACTCAAAGCAATGTCGAATTATTATGCATTTCTGCAATGTATATATGCAACAGTAAAAACAGTTGATGATTGTAGATGTGCTCTGTTGGTTACGGATGTGCGACTTATAGAACACTGCTCAATTCAATTATCTTTGATGTACTCTTATGTGATCGCTTTACGATTCCCATACACCCGAGCTCAGTCTGCTACTGTTGTTCATATTCCCCAATTTACCCATTCACGATTAATGTTATAGGATACTTGATTGCACGCTTTAGGGTCGATCCCAACCCGGGACTCACTTCAGTGTAAGAGTGATCCAGTGTAAAAGGGCTTGATTTCGTTTTACTGTTTACAGGGGCTTGACTTTGACTTAGTTGTTGGTTTAATACTGATTGCAGCATTTTTGCGGATAACTTCCAACCAATACAATTTATTTGATGTTGTCCTCTTCGTTAGTTGATCTGTCATGTAATACGTGAGAGACGAAAAGAAAACCTGACGAGTTCATGCTTCTTTCCTATTAGTACAATCTCCACTTTATGAAGGTTCAGTACTCGCTGAAAACTTTATTTTCGATTCTTCTCTCTGTTAATTACAGCAACCTCTTCATGGGCCATAATCCAGAGAATAACTATTATCCTGACGACTAGGTGTCGCGATGCTGTTGCCCTGCTGCTCATCATGAAGCTACATAGAGTGGCTAAATCATATCTTTTTCTAATCTCGCCTCTTGATAAAATACTACCAGATCGGCATGATCTGATCTAAATTACTTTAAAGATGTCCATTAGTTCAGTTTGTCACCATGACCAGACGCAGTATCCGCCCCCTCCCAGTCTGAATCGATACACGGTCAATTTGCCGATCACCCATGCTGTACAGCCTTATATTTTCTCGCTCAGGTACGACCGGATGTGGATTTGACTGATGGATTGAATCGTTATCGCTCTAGACGCACGTATTCGTTTACCGGTGAAAGTCGATCCACCGTCAAATCTCCGGGACGTGTGCCAACGGTGAAAGAAGTGAAATCGAAACCGCTGAATCGGTTCCGATGCGCAGAACAATTGCGAGGTCTATTGCCGACAGTTGTGAGGTAATTCAGTTTCTTCGTTCTCTCCCCAATTGCTAGCATTCGTCCTGTGAAATTATCGTGTGATCTCAAATGATAAATTTGATTACTTAGATGAAAATTCACCAAAAAGAACAAGAATCTAATTGTGTTGAGTGCTAACAGAGAGGGAATCAGAATGGACGGTTATCGCGTTACAGAAATAAAGTTGTCGTTAATTGGATAGCGAAGGGAATTTTTAAGAATGGGCTGGTGGTTGCAAGTTAAGTTAAAAGTAGCGAGCGATATGGATTAAAACTGATGCTGTACAGGATTGTAGATTTCAATGGTGGTTCAAGTTTGGGTCCAATGTGTCTCCGAACTCCCTCAAACCCGTTTCAAACGTGAAAACTGTATTCAGAGATTGACTACTTTAATGCTTTCCAGTAGGCAATCATGTGATACTCCCAGTGCTTACAAATGCACCGGTTCGCTCCGTAGACTAATTATGGGAAACGTGTTGAGGTAAAAGCCTTTCATATGCATAACACTGGAACCAAGTAGGAAAATGGTATGCGCGTAGTGCGTTGCATAAATGCGTGGGAAAGTGATACGGGAAATAAAACGTTCGCGAATAACAAAGAAAACGTCGGAGATCTTAGGAGGATACAATTCTCAACAGTTCAACAAGGGATAGGTACAAAGTAAAAAAAGTGGTTTCACAATTAGCAGTATC